TACTTTGTGCTTTATCTGCATCCCCTAGAGCAATGTCTGACACATAGTCCTCAATATATGTTGAATGAATCAATGAATGTCACCATGTTATTCAAAGGCTCTTTGAGGCTATTCATTGCTTAAAAATTTGTCCTCATGTCCATCTTTCTAGATTTTTCTTAGAGTGTCCCTGGTGAGCTTTTCTAGACTCTTCATATTTGTTTTCTTTTTGAACTTTTGTTGCTGCATGTATCAATAGTCTGTTCTCTCTCTCTTTTTTTAAATTCATGAGTTGTATCCCATAGGATGAATGGAATGACTTATTTATTCTTTTGTTGAAGAATTTCCAATTTTGGCTGTTTTCATTTTTGGGTTCTTGTGACCAAAGTGCTATTAATTTTTGAATTCTAGGAGATTTTTTGTGGACCTATATATTTATTTTTTGAGGTCTATACCTAGATTAGATGTTGCTGGCTCACAGACTAGGTACATATTTTGTTTTACTAAATACTGTCAGCTTTATAAGTCATGGTACAATTTTACATTTCTTTTTTGTTATTTAAAAGTCAGAGTTACATAGAGAAGGAGAGAAAGAGAGAGAGAGAGAGAGAGAGACACACAGAGAGAGAGAGAGGTCTTTCATCCGCTGGTTCACTCTCCAGTTGGCCACAATGCCTGGAGCTGCGCTGATCTTAAGCCAGCGGCCAGGAGCTTCTTCCGGGTCTCCCACGTGGGTTCAGGGGCCCAAGGATTTGGGCCATCTTCCATTGCTTTCCCAGGCCATAGGAGAGAGCTGGATTGGAAGTGGAGTACCCAGTCTTGAACCGGTGTCCATATGGGATGCCAGCACTGCAGGTGGCAGCTTTACCCACTACACCACAGTATTGGCCCCTCATTTTACATTTCTACTAGCAATATGAGAGAATTTTATTTGTCCCACATTCTTACAAACATTTAGTATTATCAATCTTGGATTTTAGATTTTGTGATGTGTGTGTAGTGTTTTTTCTTTTTCAAAGGTGTGTGTGTGTGTATGTGTTTTCTATTGTATGTCCTTTGTACTTTCAGTTGCTTTATAATAATTGTATATAAAATTCTTTAAAACTTCTTTGTGTCTTTTTCTGTAAAATGAGGATAAATATTAGCTCTGTGGATCTATAAGTTCCTGGCTTTGGAAATACTTCATGAAGATTTAAAAAATACAGTTACCATATAAATACCCATAGAAATTCTGATTTAGAAGGTCTGGGAATGGCCCAGAATGTTTTTGTTTTTTCCAAAGTGACTGTAAAAATCTATTTTCTAGTGAGCAATTTGTGAAGGGTACAATTTCTCCACATCTGTTAAATATTTTGTAGAGTGCTATTTTGCTCCTGATAATTCTAGGCAATTTAAAGTAGTATTTTACATCAATCACATCCAAGATAATTTCAGCCAAACTAAATATTATGGATTTAATTTTCATTCCTGTAGTGACTAATGATGTTGACTATGTCCTGTGCTTGCTGTCCATTTGTGTATATTTTTCAGACAAATCTCTACTCAAATATTTTGCTCCCTTTTTTAAAATTAGGTTATATGTCTTCTTGCTTTAAGAGATCATATATTCTGAATGAACATTCTTTATCAGATGGATCTTGCCTCTTTATGCAGTCTGATAATCTTTGCCATTTCAGGCGAATGTTTAGTTCATTCATATTATCAATAAAATTGAATTTATACCTGTCTTTTGCTATTTATTTTCATTTTTATCCTATCTAAAGAGATTCCTCTGTTATTGCTTCACTACCTTCTTTTGCTTTAAATGAATACTTTTTCAGTACCATTTTAATGACCCTGATTTTTAAATTTGTGTTTCCTCTTAATTTTTATTTAAAAATATTTCAGAAAGTATAAAGGATTTAATGAGAAAACATAAACGTAATAATTTTTAGCATTTTTTTCATATTGAATTCATATGTAAATATATATATATCCATGTGTGCATACTGTTTTTTCTTGAAAGCAGGAATTGATACATTAGTATCATATAATATAAGATTCATGATATAGTCATGACGTGACTAAAGAAGGGTATGCTGTTACGTAAGGGGTATATATAATTCAGTGAACAAAACATCAATGTCTATATAAAATAAATAAAATAACGCACATATTTTTCATAACTTCCACATAGGAGAGAAAATCATGTGGCATTCATGTTTCTGTGTCTAGTTTATTTCACTTAGCACAAGAGGCTTCAGTTACATACATTTTGTTGTAAATGTCAGGATTTTATTCATTTTTAATGGCTTAGTAATATCCTTTTTATGCAGTCATTCATTGATGCATATCCACATTGATTTGATTTTGTTGCTACTGTGAATTGGGCAGCAATAAACATAGTAGTGCAGGTACCTCTTTCATATTCTGATTTCATTTCATTTGAATACAATGCATAAAAGTAGGGTAGCTGTGAAGGGTTATATGGTAGACCTATTTTTAGTTCTTTTTGTGATTTCTCCATACTGTTTTCCATAATGACTGTACTAATTTGCATTTCTATCAACAGTGTATTATAGGATTGCCTTTTCTTCACATCCTCATCAGCATTTGTTATTTTTAACATTTTTCCCCCAGAAACCTTTTATTTAAGGTATACAGACCATGCATTTCATAAATAGAACTTTAGGAACATAGTGATAGTGATCCTTCCCTTATTTTTAACTTTTTGAGGACAGTCATTCTAACTGGAGTGAGATGATACCTCATTGTGGTTTTTATTTGAATTTTCCTGGTGACTAGTAATACTGAGCATTTTTTACGTGTTTGTTGGCCATTTTTATTTCTTTTTGTTTTCAGTACATCTTTTTCCTTTTCAGATAAATGATTTTCTCTCTTTCTATCTTTTTTTTTTTTTTGACAGGCAGAGTGGACAGTGAGAGAGACAGAGAGAAAGGTCTTCCTTTGCCATTGGTTCACCCTCCAATGGCCGTCGCGGCCGGCGCACCGCACTGATCTGATGGCAGGAGCCAGGTGCTTTTCCTGGTTTCCCATGCGGGTGCAGGGCCCAAGCACTTGGGCCATCCTCCACTGCACTCCCTGGCCACAGCAGAGAGCTGGCCTGGAAGAGGGGCAACCGGGACAGAATCCGGTGCCCTGACTGGGACTAGAACCCGGTGTGCTGGCGCCGCAAGGCAGAGGATTAGTCTATTGAGCCACGGTGCTGGCCTAGATAAATGATTTTCATTTACCAGGACATCACTGATTTGAATGTGACAAAATATGGGTAAAGTGAAAATTGTCACAACTACGTGTATTTCTTATTTTGAAAATGTCTATTCAAATATTTGACCACTTTTTAAAAAAATGCTATTAAAATTTTTAAGGTGTATAATTTTCATGTATTTCATATAACATCTTTAGGAGCATAGTGATACTTCCCACCCTACCATCCCTCCTCCCCACTCCTTTCTCCTTCCTTTCTTATTCTCTTCATTTTTATGATGACCTACTTTCAGCTTATTTTATACTCATAAGATTGACCCTCCATTTAGTAAAGAATTCAACAAATAGTAAGAAGATAAAAACACTCTTCTTCAACAGTAGAGACAAGGGCTGTATGTCAATTTTGTTCTTGTACATTATAGTTTTTTACTCTATTGTTTGTTGTGTTGTGGTGTAAGTCCTTGAGCCTCTTATATATTCTGGACATTAATCCTTTATCAGATAGATCTTTTGCAAATATTTTCTCCTGTTCCGTTAGTTTTCTTTTCCTCCTGTTGATTGTTTCCTGTGAAATTTTTAGTTTGACATAATCTCATTTGTATATTTTGCTTGTATTATCTGTGCTTTTGGGGTCTTATCCAAAAGTTTTTATTTCTGCAAATGTCTTGGAGTGTTTCCCCTCAGTTTTTCTCTAGTAGTTTCATAGTTCCAGGTCTTACATTTAGATCCTTGATTCATTTGGGTTGACATTTGTATAAAGTAAGGTTTTGTTTCAAACTTCTGCCTGTGGAAATTTAATTTTCATTGCACTTTTTATTTAAGAGACTCTCCTTTCTCCAGGGAAATTTTTAGCACATTTGTCAAAGATAAATTGGTCGTAGAAGCTTGGATTTATTTCTGAGATTTCTACTCTGTTTCATTAGTCTACATTTCTTCTGTTTTTATGCCAGAACCATGTTGTTTTGGTTATAACAGACTTGTAGTGTGCCTTAAAATCTAGTACCATGGTGCCTCTGGCTTTGCTTTTTTTATTCAAGGTTGAGTTGGCTATTCAGGATATTTTGTATTTCCATATAAATTTTATGATTTTTTTTCCTGATTCCTTGAAGAATGTCTTTGATATTTTGATGGGGGAGTGCATTTGATTCTGTAAGATGCTTTCAGTGGTATGGACATTTTGATAACATTAATTCTTCCAATCCATGAACATGGGAGGCCTTTCCATTTGTTGCATCTTCTTTTATTTCTTTCATTAGTATTGTGTGATTTTTTGTAAAGGTCTTTCATATTTTTGGTTACATTTTTCCAAAGGTATTTAATTTTCTTTGTAGCTATTGTGAATGGGATTGTTCTTACAATTCTTTCTCAGCAAGATCATTGTTGGTATATAAAAATGCTATTGATTTTGTATAATGCAACTTTTATGAATTATTTGTGCTAATATTATCTTGGTGGAGCCTTTGGTTCTATATATTGAATCAAGTAATTGGCAAACAGGGATAATTTGACTTCCGCCTTTCTGATTTATGCTTTTTATTTATTTCCCTTGCCTAATGACTCTGGCTCAGGATATTATTTTAATAAATACTGTTGATAACTGTGGTACTCATCCAGGTTTGAAAAACATTGTGAGAGGCAATCTTGAAACTTATCAGGTCTAAAATTCCGAGTTGGTGGGTTTGATGTAAAGATAAAGTAAGCACTGAGAGATTGAGAGAGGACAAGTTTTTTTTTTTTTTTTTTTTTTTTTTTTTTTTTTTTTTGGGTCAAGGGGAACTTTGGAAGTGGGGATAAAAAATTTCAAAAACAAACCAAAGGCAAAGAACAGGATTGGTTATTGTTTGGCACTGGGAAACTGATCTGCTAGGATTCAGTATAAGAGCACTAAGCAGCTAGAAGATAAACTGAAAGAAGTCTTCAAAGGAAAGGAGGTGGAAGGCAGAGGCAGTGAAAGGAAATTATGAGTAGCTTGTAATTTAGAGAAAGACTATTCTTGGCATAGGTCAAAAATAATTCTTTGTTGCTGTTATGTTTACACTTCCTGTGAAAACAGAGAATGGAATCAGACAAGTCTTTTTATTTTTTAATGAAACTAGTAAAACAGCTAATAAAGTAAAATATGTATGAATATTGAATGCCCATTCTATATTACAATAGCTGTTTGTTTCCTTCTCTAATCACTGCTTTTAATTAAAGTCATTGAGTATTTGTTTTGCTATTTCCCAAAAACCTATGACATTCAAGAAGGCAAGGACCCGCTTAATAAATTTCAGTAGTTCTCCTCAGGAGAAAGTGTAATTTAGTGGTTCAGCTGAGGGAGTTGGTGTCACAGAGACCTACACATGAGTGTGGGCTCTGAAATATATTGTCTCTTAGGAACTTGCCTATGAAATAGATGTCATTATTGTGAGGAGTAAACATATATTATATTTATGTCTTAGCAGCCAGAAGTCAAATCTAAGGACACTGTGTCAGGTACATTATTGAATATTCAAGAAAATACAAGGATAATAATTTTTTCACAGTAAATTTGTTCTAATAATACTGGATAAATGTTAGTTGGAAGAAAGAATTGTCTCTAAAAGCCAAATCAACCAATTCCAAGGGATAAACAAACGTTTCTTCTTCCACAGGGAAAGCAATCTCTGAGGAAATGGTCTGGAGGGAGTCTCTGCCTTAATAATGACATCACTGAGCTTTGTAATCAAGATACAGCTCTGATGTCCCATCACTTACCACTCAGGAAAAGGTGCTGTCTCTTTCCTAGAAGCAGGAGGAGCCTTTGGACAGATCAGTACCTGGAATTCAAATTCTTCAGTGCGGAGTAATGAGGTGAATTAGAGGCTCTGATCCTTTGATGTGTTCTGGGAGGAGAGGGCTCAGAGTTCAAAGCTAGCATCTTGTATTCAAAGGATCGTTTTCCTCCCCCGGACAATTTGGACAAGAGTTAGTAGAGTATAGCATTATAGCTCTAAACAAAGCAAGGTGAGTCACAGCCTGACTCTGATCAGTCAGCCATGTAAGGTGGTGGTTATAACAAACCATGAGCGTCAGACCACCCAAGTTCACTTTCTGGTTGCAACTCAGTACTTTTGGGACTCAGGGTTAGTTACTTAATCTCAGTTATTTTATCTGTAAAATGGAGGTAATGAATTTGCCTTATAGCTCTTAGATTAGAGCTTCTTACAATAATCACTAAATGAATGCTGGCTTAAAAATATTCTTACAGCCACTTGAGCTAATAGATCTTGGAAATAAATGACCTCATCTCCTTGATCACCCAGAGGTGGAGGCTCTGAGCAGAGCCACGGTGGGCGCTGGCTGTCAGGGCTTGTTGTGGGAAAGAGGTCCAAGTTTCAGTAACTGAGGCAGAGACAGGAGAGGAAAGGACATACTCAAGGGACTGACTTGAAAGGCATTTGGCTTACTTTTGGTGCCACTCACTTCAATAGAACCAACCCTCATTCCGGAAGACACATTTAGCCTCCTGTTGTGCTCAAGTCACTTCATAGTTTGCTACTATCCACAGCAAATAGCAAAAACTTACCTATCAAAGTTCAAATCTCTCTCTGTGCATTACTTTTTCAAGAATGGGAGACAGGTTCTGGGGAGGTAGCAGTGATGTTTCTTTCTCTGTGTGTGATCCTCTTCTTTTGTCCTTCCAGACCTCCCTTCTCTCTCCCTGGAGGAGAATGGCAACCAAAAACTCCTCCGTGACAGAGTTTATCCTTGCAGGATTGACAGATCAGCCAGAGCTCCAGATCCCTCTCTTCTTCCTGTTTCTAGTTTTCTACCTGGTCACCGTGATGGGAAACCTGAGTTTGGTAACCCTGATTGGACTGAACTCTCACCTTCATACTCCCATGTACTTCTTCCTCTTCAACTTGTCCTTCATAGATTTCTGTTACTCCACCACGATCACCCCAAAAATGTTGATGAGCTTCGTTTCAGAGAAGAACACCATCTCCTATCCTGGGTGCATGACTCAGCTCTTCCTCTTCTGCTTCTTCGTCATCTCTGAGTCCTTCATCCTGTCAGCCATGGCATATGACCGCTATGTCGCCATCTGTAAACCCTTGGTGTATGCTGTCACCATGTCTCCCCAGGTGTGTTTACTCCTTTTGTTGGGTGTCTATGGAATGGGGTTTGCTGGGGCCATTGCCCATACTGGAAGCATAATGAGTCTGACCTTCTGTGCTGACAACTTTGTCAATCACTTCATGTGTGATCTCCTTCCTCTCCTTGAGATCTCCTGCGACAGCTCTTACGTGAATGAGCTGGTGGTCTTTGTTGCTGTGGCCATTGACATCGGACTGCCGTTAGTCACTATCTTCATTTCTTATGCCCTCATCCTCTCCAGCATTTTTCACATTCATTCCAATGAGGGCAGATTCAAAGCCTTCAGCACCTGCAGCTCCCACATGATTGCTGTTTCTTTATTCTTTGGTTCTGGTGCTTTCGTGTATCTCAAACCACCTTCCATTTTGCCTCTTAACCAAGGGAAAGTATCCTCTCTGTTCTATACCATTGTGGTGCCCATGTTAAACCCATTAATTTATAGTTTGAGGAATAAAGATGTCAAAGTTGCTGTCAGAAAAACCTTGTACAGAAAAATATTTTCATAGGAAAGGAGAAGTATTTGAGGAAAGAAAAGCAATTTTTCTTAATATCTGTGCTTTCTTTTTTTTTTAAAGATTTATTTATTTATTTGAGAGGCAGAGTTATAAACAGAGAAAGGGGGAGACAGAGAGAGAGGTCTTTCACCCGCTGGTTCACTCCTCAAAAGGCTGCAAAGGACGGAGATGGACTGATCTGAAACCCTGGAGCCAGGAACTTCCTCCAGATCTCCCACATGGGTACAGGGACCCAAACACTTGGGTCACCTTCCACTGCTTTCCCAGGCCATTAGCAGGGAGCTGTATAGGAAGTGGAGCAGCTGGGACTCACACTGGTGTGCATATGGGATGCTAGCACTGCAGGTGAAGGCTTAACCTACTATGCCACAACGCTGGGCCTCAACTTTTGTGTTTTCAAAGAGGGATCCAAGTTCTAGGCTCCCCATCTACCTTTTCTGAGTAGACAGTGAGTTTTAAATCTTTATGTCTGAGTGTGTGTTTAGTGCAAATCTGTTCTTCCTGCCACTTACTCCACCTTAGCTATTCCAAGATTTCTTTGTTGCATGCTATTGTTCTACATAGATATATTAATCTTGAATTGTCTTTATAAGTAATTTAATCTAGCCTCCTCATGTAACAGATATTGGAGACTCAGAAATATTGTTTAGTTGCTCAAGAACAGGCAAATACCGGGTGCCACAATGGGATTGGTCTACATGACTCTGAATTGCAATTTCCTTTATGCCATGTTGTCTTTTGCTTCATTACTGGCCTGCAGATCTCCCTTTGAAGTATGATAACTTAATACAATAAAATTTAATTTTATTCACAGTAGTTTAATGCAAATTCATAGTAGATCATTTTTGCATTTTTTTTTTAGAAAAAAGAACTCAAGAATTACTTGTTTCCTACAAGTGTTTTATTTAGAGGCTATTCTTTTCATTGAATGGATTTATTTATTTATTTGAAAACAGAGTGAAACAGAGAATGGGAGAGAGGAGAAGAGAGTGGGAAAGCAGGAGAGAGAGGAAGAGAGATGGAGAGACATAGAGAGAGAAATACACACACACACACACACACACACACAGACCTTCCATCCACTGGTTAACTCCCCAAATGTCTGCCACAACTGGGACTGGGCCAGGCTGAAGCCAGGAGTCAGAAAAAGCATTTGAGAGGGTGGCAGGGCCTAAGTACTTGAGCCATTGTCTTCTATATCCTAAGTGTATCAGCAGAAAGCTGGATCAGAAGTGGAGGTAAGACTTGATCATAGACACTCTGACTTGGGATGCAAGTGTCTCAGTTAGTAGCCCAACCATCAGTGCCATAAACACCAACCCTTGTTTTTTTTTTAAATAGGTAAATAAGCAGTACATTATTTGGTAGTTCTATTTTCAGTGTTTTTGAGGAAACTGCATACTGTTTTCCAAAATGGCTGTACTCATTTACCTTCTCACTAAAAAGTATGCCAGGGTTCCCTTTTCTCTACATGTCCTTGCCAACACTTGTTGTTTTTTTTTTTTTTTTTGTCTTTGAAAATAGCCAAATCTTGTTAGAGTGAAATGATATATCACTGTGGTTTTGTCTCAAATTTCCCTTATGATTAGTGAGCATTTTTGCCGTGTACCTGTTGGCCATTTTATATGATTTCCTTTGAGAAATAGCTGTTTAGATTTACTGCCTATTTTTTATTGGATTTTTAATTGAGTTGAGTTTCTTATATATTCTGGGTATTAATCCCTTGTCAGATATATTGCAAGTATTTTCTCCCATTCTTTAGATTATATTTTCACTTTGTTGTTCATTTCTTTTTCTGAGAAAAAGCTTTTTAGCTTGATGAAATACCATTTGTCTATTTTTTCTTTTATTGCGTGTGCTTTTGGGATCTGATCCATAAAACACTTGCCCATTCCAGTGTCCTGAAATGTTTCCCCTATGTTTTCTTCTAGTAGTTCAGGCCTTCAGGTCTCACATTTAGATCTTCTATTCATTTTGAGTTATTTTTGTTCTTAGTGAGAAATAAGGGTCTAGGTTCATTCTTCTGCATGTGCATATCCAATTTTCCCAGCACCATATGTTGAAAAGACTATCCTTTATCCCCTGCATGTTCTTGGCACCTTTGTGCCTGCAGCCATCAGTAGGCTGCAGGTGTGTGGGTTTACTTATAGGATCTCTATTCTGTTCCATAGGTCTATGAGTTTTTTTTTATGCCAATACTCTGTTTTAATTATTGTTGCATTGTAATAGATTTTAAAGTCAAGCAGAATAATGCCTCCTGGTTTGTTATTTTTGCTCAAAATTGTTTGGATAACGGGTTTTTTGTGGTTCCATACAAATATTGCTGGTGATTTTTCTAGTTCTGTGAAAAATATCATTATAATTTTAATATGGATGGTACTGGGTATGTAAATTGCTTTAAGTAGTCGGCACATTTTAATGATGTGGATGCTTCCAATTCATGAACATGGGATGGCTTTTCATTTCTTTGTGTTCTGTCAGTTTATTTAATCAATGATTTATAAGTTGAATTGTAGAGATTTTTCAACTCTTTGGTAATGTTTATTGACAGCTTTTTTTGATAATTATTGGAAATGGAGTTGTTTTCTCTACTTCTTTTTCAGGTGATTCAGTATCAGTTTATAACAATGTACCAATTTTTGTACATTGGCTTTGTACATTATAAATTGCAACTTTGCTGAATTTGTTTACTTGTTCTAATGGGTTCTGGGTAGAATATTTGAGATTTTTCTATATATAAGATCATTTCATCTGTAAACGTGAGAATCTGACGTTTTCCTTTCTAATTTGGATGCACTTTATGTCTTTCTCTTGCTTAATCATGGATGCTAGATCTTGCAGTGCTGCATTGAATAGAAGTAACAAAAGTGGGTGTCCTTGTCTTCTTCCAGGTCTTAGTGAGGAAGCTGTCAGCTTTTCCTCATTCAATATGATATTAGCTGTTGTCCTGTTTATTAAAACTTGACATACTTCTGGTCGTGGGGATGTTCTATCCCTCCATTTGGCTGTGCAGGCCTATTCTCTGTCCTCACCATTAACCAGACCCTAGCCAGTCTGGACCCTGGGCCAGAATGCTTTAGGATTTAGTGGAGTAAAGATGCTATATGAAGCCTTGAAACTTTCTGTTATTTTCTTTCTCTCTCTTTCTTTCTTTCTTTCTTTCTTTCTTTCTTTCTTTCTTTCTTTCTTTCTTTCTTTCTTTCTTTCTTTCTTTCTTTCTTTCTTTTGACAGGCAGAGTTAGACAGTAAGAGAGAGACAGAGACAGAGAGAAAAGTCTTCCTTCTGTTGGTTCACCCCCCAGATGGCCGCCACGGCTGGCACGCTGTGCTGATCTGAAGCCAGGAGCCAGGTGCTTCCTTCCTGGTCTCCCACGTGGGTGCAGGGCCCAAGCACCTGGGCCATCCTCCCCTGCCTTCCCAGGCAACAGCAGAGAGCTGGACTGGAAGAGGAGCAACTGGGACAGAATCTGGCGCCCCAACCGGGACTAGAACCCGGGGTGCCGGTGCCGTAGGCAGAGGATTAGCCTAGTTTGCCACGGCACCAGCCTGAGACTTTTGAGTTGTCCTCTGCATACACTCAGGATGAAAATAGACGAATCTGATGCTCACATCCAGAGGGTGCTGATAGAAGCCGGAGAAAGCAATGCCCAGCTGACCATTGAGAGTGATGCCTTGAGACTCCAGGAGGCTGAGGCCTTCTTCTCAGGACTTTGTTTTCTGAGTCCCATGGAATCATAAATGATCCTCCTGTGTTTCCTCACTGATCTGCTGGTTGCAATGTTATTTTAGGCTTTGCTTTGCATCTGGTACACACAAAACGTGTATGACTTACTTAACCCTGCTACATGTGGGATGTCTGTAATGAATATAGAGGGAAATAAAGATGAACACATTAATGAAAAAAGAGATATGTTTGAGATATGTGTCATCTATATCTAACTTGGTCAGAATTTTAATCATGAAGGAATGTTGCATTTTATCAAATGCTGTATCTGAATCTATTGAGGTGATCATGTGATTTTGTCCTTCATCCTATTGGTGTAGTGTATTACATTTATTGACTTGCTTAAGTTGAACCATCCTTGCATCCTTGGTATAATTCCAACTCAATCATGGTGAATCATCTTTTTAATATGTTGTTGTATTCAATTTGTTAGTATTTTGGTGAAGAGTTTTGTATCTGTATTAATCAAGGATAGTGACCTGTAGCTTTCTTTCTTTCTTTTTTTTTGTGCCCTTGTCTGGTTTTAGTATCAAGGTAACACTGGCCTCAGAATGAATTTGAAAGAATACTTTCCTGTTTTATTTTTTGAAATAATTTAGAAAGGATTGGTGTTAACTCTTCTTTAAAAATTTGTTAGAATACAAAAGTGAAATTATCTGGTCCTGGGCTTTTCTTTGATGGAGATTTCTTAAAAATGATTTTTTCTCAATTGAGTAAGAGGCAGAAAATTTTCTTATGTTAATTTTGGCCAAATGTGTTGCAATTGTGGTATACAGGTGGCACTGAGGTAATATTGATGTCATGTATAAAATCCTGAGACTTCAGTATAGTCAATTGGGACTTCTATGAGTTTAAATGTTTTAAAGATGCTGAGTGAAAAGTTACACAGTTTTTCCAAGACTCAGAAAGTCAGAATGTAGAAAATTTCAATGATTAGTTTAAATGTTTTCACTATGATGGAGAAATCTATGGCTCAGGATAATCAACAAAGGATTTAGAGCAGGAATTAATTTTGGGGATCTAGTTAGTTATCAAGGATGCACAAGGCAGTTGATTATTAGAAGAGGTAATTCCAGGGTGAGAATTTAGCACAGCAGTTAAGTCCCTGTTTGGGATGCTTGGATCCTGTATTGGAGTGTGTGGTTTGAGTTCCAGCTCCTCTGCTTCCAGTTCAGCTTCCTGCTAATATCCACCTGCTAGGAGGAAACAGTGATGGCCCAACTACTTGGGTCTCTGCTGCCCAAGTGAGAGACTCAGATTGAGTTCC